GCGAGGAACGAAGGAGACGAGGAGTACATCAATCTAGAGAATTTTAATGACATCAAGGAACCAAGGAAAACTCCCGTAGCACAGGTTGACATGAACAATACCGGACGCTGAACTAAAAACAGGGAACACTATTTAAACACATGACAAGACAAGGGGAAGACAAGACACACCTGGGATCAATGGACATAAACAGGGAACACCTGGAATTAAATCAACATAATCAGGACAGGAACAGGAAACTAACCAAATATGGGCAAGGAGGATACAAAATACACACAAAACACGGAACAAAGTCTGACAGCTTGCAAGCTTCTTTCTCGCATTTATTTGCATGCAGAATTGTAATATCTACATGCTGATTTGCAAATGCTCAGAAGAACAGACCAGTGTCAATTTCGAAAGGCAAATGTTCTATGAATGTTCTTCTGGGTTTTAACACTGTAACCTCTTATCACATCGTGCTTTAAAAGCACTCCTGTTCATACGGCCTGAGCGATCTGAAGCAGAACTTGATCTGTAAATGCAAAACTAGTCCATCCAATCTACTGGTGACCCACTTGCCAAAAGCGTTCTCGTCGAGTCTCTGACAGTTGTGCTCGCCCATTGTTTTGGATCCTCAAGTGGTGCATTAAGATGGAAATGAAAGGCTGGTGGCGCTGCCATTTAGAAAGTGAGTCACGCAGCGCTCGATGGCCATCTCTCGTGCCCAGATGTCAGATCTCATAGCTGAAACTGCATGTCAGGAGTCCTGGCTTAGAGAGAGGAACGTCTGGAGCTGTTATTAGAGGGTTATTAGAACACGGAAAGAAAGAGATGCTTGTGAACAGATCTCGCATCTATAATCACACACAAGAAAACATTAGAGTTCAAACGGCTGTAAAAGCCTCACCTTGTTTAGCTGTGTTCATGTGAGCAGCTCACGAAACTCATGATGCCAGACAGCCTATATGGCAAATAACAAAATGACTTAATACGGCTTGTGACAACAGGCCAAATGAATGAATTCTACCTGGCAGCATCTCTCTACTAGTAGTGAAGCTGCTGGATTTAGTTATTAAGAAATATATGCTTGAACTTTTCAGTTTCTAAGCTATTTTATTGAGAAATCTCAGAACAGTGTTGACAATACAGTACCGCGCTGAATGATTCCGTGCATGCGCGATCTGCACGTGATGTACGCGCTACTGTCTGTAGCCTATGTGTGTGTGTTAAAGTGCAGCAGCGCATTAGATTAGAACAGCGATTAACTTACCTGTACAATAAGCTGTTTAAAACGTGCATTCTCCTGTTCAATTTCGAGCATCCAGTAATATAATCACACATGTCTTGTGGAGCGCTTTCAGAGTATACATTTATTTGTCATTTTACTTGTTTGGAAACGGAGCGTAAATGTGGAAGTCCTTCAAAGGTTTCTTATCCTGTTGCGCCCTCTATAGGACCAGCGACTAGTCAACGTCAAGCTTAAAGCGTCATGGCAGAGCATTGAAGTCGACTAGTCGATTAGTCGGTGCAACCCCTATCACTTACAGACATTTTTTGAGAGTTATAAGCACAAAATCTAGCATTAAATGACTAGCAGGTGGTCATTCTGTCATGCTGCTGATGTTTCTACAGCAGTCGGTTCAAGAGTCTTGAGCAGAAACAGGTGAAACTGAAAACTGTCAGTGGTGAGACAGAGACTCCAAACGGTCACCAGGAATGTTTCTGTCGCTCTTCCCAATCAATCTGGCAAATTTCACAACTGTCGTCCAAGTGTTTCTGTGGGCAGCCATAGACTTCAACAGCAGAAGAACAACAAGCAAACTAACAGATGGTGCTTGGCATCTAATGAAGTTCTGTGAATGCTGGAATAAATGTAGCCCGAGAGAAAAAGAAAGAGACACATCTGAATTTACTGCTCCTGTCCTACCTCAGACAAACCTGGTTTTGCTCATTTCTGTGGGAAATCCTGTAGTTTAAATGATGGGAAGATGACACATACACTGCAGGTTAATTTCACATTATTATAAAAAAATTGTGTATATGAAGATTATTCATGAATATCAGGCCAGAAAACATCAGTTCACATGTTTTTTTTTCTCACAGGTGTTACTCTGATCAACTGCCTTTCCTAATACAGAAGCCACATCCTGAAATACCATAAACCCATCCACAGCACTGAGCTCGTCATTCATTACTTTGGAAGAACAGCTCAAACCAAAAATGCAAACAATGCCTGATCTGCAGATGAAAACCACAGAGAAACGACACCCCCCCCCCCCCCCCATCTCAAAAAATATATTTTATATAAAAATATATAAAATATTTTTCCATCTCAAAAATATATCTAAATTACGACCTATTCTCTCAATGACACAACAACCATTCTGATCCACTGCTGGAACAGATGCAGATCATTTTACATCAGCTACAAAATGCATCAGCTTCCACAGCCAGGTAAAATCAATGGTTGATCTTCGCCAGAACACACCTGTTATGAATTAAAGATAAACAGGCTCCAAATATTGTATAATCAAGAAAAAGTGACCTTAAACTGACACTAGTGTTGTTTTTGGCGGCCTGTTTTAATTTTAGTTTTAGTCTAGTCTTTGTGTGAAGCTGTCATTTTAGTTTTTATTAGTTTTAGTCACGTTCATACTCTTTTTAGTCTAGTCAAGTTTTAGTCAACGATAGCTTGATTTAAAACTTTGAATTGAATAAAAAATGACAAGGAGGCTAAGCAGTTAATAATAAAATAAGAACAAATCAAGAAATTACTAATGATAGCACAAATTAAAAAAATCACGATAGGCCAACAAATGAAATAAATAGCTTTTTACTTTTTCGGGTAGGTCTAACACACAGTAGGGCTATTAAAAGAATTTTTTTTTTTTTTTTACCAAATATCCAAATAATGTTTAATCATAGAAAGCTATTATTATCAGAGGACACATGAGCATAACGGTTAGCAGATCAATAATAATAATAACGTGACTAAACAAGACAAAATAACGTTATAACATTTCGTTTCGTCTCGTTTTGGTCAACGAAAATGAAGAGACATTTTAGCATAGTTTTTATTTTGTAAACCACATTTAGTCTCGTTTTTATTCGTCAACAATATTGCATTATACATTTAATTATAGTCATCGTCACATGACCAGCATTTATGTTGCGTCTCGTCTCGTTTTTGTCACGTGATAAAGGTTCGTTGACGACGATATTTAGTCATAATTTTCGTTGACGAAAGCAACACTAACTGACACCTTAGTTTTCAGAAAGGCTCAGTTCTGCATCTTACCGATATGTCAAGATTCCGTGTCAAGTGACCAACAACATGTGATTTCAACCTCTGCATCTCAAAGATCTTCTGCATAAAAGCACAAACTGTGGCGGCTCCATGACATCCACCCGCACTCTAATGTTCAATCCTGGATGGAGCTCAAAGTCTCTCAAAACTTAATCTTACAGTTTAATCAATGTAGTAACACATCTGCTTAATTACTGACATTATATTTTTCCCCCAGCGTTTTTCTCTGTTATCCAAACATCACATGGGGTTTTTAGTTCCTTACCAAGCTGCTTTTGGCTTTCACATTAGAGATGTTATGTACTATGTAGAATGTGTTGTGCATAAATATTATGCCACGACTTTCAATGAACTCCTCAGATAATCTGCTTAGTGTTGAGTGATGTGATCGACATTTTAAACTTGTTGTTTATATGCATCATTTAACCACCGCAGTGATACACATCACTAAATAGTAATTAGGCTAGTAATTAGTCACTACACCAAATTACTATACATTGAACAAAACTTTATAATTTCCCATATTACCACAAGACAAATGAATGACTCAAATTAATGAACAATTTAATTATAACAACAAATTATACAACTACTGTGTGTCCAACTTTACCTGCATACATACAGCACACTCACATAAAGTGAAATAAACTATATAGCAGATCTCGAATACTTCATTGTTTATATTGTGGCAAAATGTAAACTATATTATTGCATAGCTCTATTCTGATAACTGTCTGCTTTAAGACATGGCAATATTAAGATATTGTAAACACTAACATTGTGATTTTCTAAAAACCTGCTTTGCAACAATGTGTATTATGTGTGTGTGTATTAGGAAAGCACTAAACTCGACTGTGACTCCACAGGCGCTTGAGAACATCATCCAGAGAATCAGAGAATCCCATCAGCCCGAGCTTCTCAAAGCATCACACCATAACAGCTGATTTGCATTGCATTTCTAGTCTAGTCTTTCAGGAATCGTGGTTAGTGGGTTATTTCCACGAGTCTGCAGTGATCTGAGCCGGTTAGTCTTTGTGACGAGCATCATTCATGTTCACTCATTCGAGTCGGCGTCTCTGACACTCATTTAGCCGTAAACGACCATGAAATGTGGCACATAAAAGCTCTATTGTTTTACAAAGGTGTGATTCTGACACATTACACAGGTGATCAAGCATAGCACAGTCATTTCAGCGCAACACTGAGAGCCATGCACGCACACACACACACAAATACACACGCGCACACACACACATACACACACACGCGCACACTCACACAAATACACACACTCACGCACACACATACACACACACACACACACACACACACACACGTTTGTTTCTGTGAATTGTGGGGGCTTTCCATAGACTTCTATTCCTTTTATACTGACCAAATTATATTTTTTATACCCTAACCCAACCCTAACCCTACCCCTTACAGAAAACCTGTCTGCATCGTTACACTTTCAGATAAACATAATTTACTATTTTTAATCATTTTTTTTCCCTCGTGTGGACCGCAGGCCATTCCCTAATGTCAAAAATTTCAGGTTTTACTATCCTTGTGGGAACATTTGGTCATGCACTCTCTCTCTCTCTCTCACACACACACACACACACACACACACGCACACACACAGCACAATGCATTACTGTAAGATCCCTCAGACAGTTATGTAATATCAGTCCATAACAAACGCTGTTCTCACCCAGCTGCAGCTCCATGACGTTCATCTTATTTTCAGATGGGTAGAGGATCTTGGGAGGCTTGTCAGTCAGCGGTGCTGTGCGAGAAAACAAACAACAATGCAAATGATTAGTTGCATGACAATGCTGTCCATCTGTCTCTGATAGAGCTGCAGAATTACACGTTAAATCCTAAACGACAATGATTCGGCTGGATATGAACTGTTTTTGACATGCATAGTATCTCAACAAAAATGGAGTGAATCACCTTTTGAAAGTAATTTGAAGCTTCATATACAGAATGTATTACGTAACTCCATATTCCACCCAGTCTGACAGCCTCGTTCTCTCATCTGAGGTCACAGTGGACGGGCTACTTTATTTTGACTTTTTCTGTTCTCTGATGATGCATTTCAATAAACAAACATGGCCACATGCATTGGTAACAATTACTTACTGATCTTAGCAATGATAAAATTGCCATTATAGTATAGCATTAAATTTGATATCTGCTATTCCACTATCTTGTTAATAAACATGAATCAATATTAGTATGTAAAAGCTTCAAATAAACAGACACATCAGTAATGATTCGTCGTCTATGTTTTTCTATAATTAGACATACTAGCTACAAAAATTAATATTTTGTAAACTTTTAATTTATATTTTTGATTTCTGCCTTTCTAGGCCTATACATTGATTCACATAATTCACACTTTTTGTTAACTGCCTTACAAGTATGATCGTATCCAAATGAACAAGTGGATAGAAATAAAATTTAAATACACAACAGACCCAAAAACAATTAGACATACCAGTTTTTACACATTTGAAATGACATTCATACATTACATTGTGTAAAATAAATTAAAAATTAAAATTGTTTTAAAATGATTGTGTATTTAAAATGTACCAGTGAAGAGCATTTACACTACCATACTTTCTCTTAATCAGACCAGTCTGAAAAGTTTGTTTAAACTGTCTGTAATGCATTTTCACACTGAAAGTCATCAGATCTTCAAACAAAAACTGTGAATGCATAAAAGTGTCACTTCATGAACAAAAACACAAAACAAGATGCATTTTTCATGTATTTATTAAAGGAAGTAATATAAAACACTTTGTAAACTCTTACAATTTTTTTTCAACTGCTTACATTTTCAAAACTTTGTCTCTTTTTAAAATATTTTTACACACAAATCACACACATTCAAAATATCACAAACACATCTCAAAAGCAAACATTTGCAAACAGCTTTGCCATAATATTCATTCCTGTTAGATTGTTGTGTGTTACATAGAGAATTGTGTGTTGTGTTTTGCAAAAAGTGTTTTATGAAATTGAAAACTGAGTCAAAGACAGAATTAGTGTATGGTTTTGTAGATTTGGTGTGTGCTTCTGCTGTTTGAGTGTTAGCTTTCAGAAACTGTGACAAGTGAAGATTCTGTGTGTAAGCAGATGAAAAAAACTGTATAGCAACTCTCTCAAAAGCGTCTCGGCTTCAGTTCGCTTCAATACGACATTACGTTCAATATTGGTATAAATGCACTCTATAAAAACCATCATGAGGAATATCAGAACTGAAGACACTCCATCAATGAAGGTGCTAAACTACGGTGGATTACACTGTTGTAACGCTCAGCCTAAATAAGGCAGGCTACACAAATAAAGTTTGTTCTTTTTACCTCTTAACAGTGGGGTTGAAGGAATGCAGGTACAAAAAATAACTACCAAAATAATAAATGCCAACCCAAAGTGTATTTCACAAGAAGACAAGCACGTTGACGCTGTCCTGTGAGGAAATCCAACTCAAATAGTCCAACAAACTTGACCATTCCACGCTGAACGCTGAGCAATGTTCACAGCAAATAACAGCAGCATGTAGGAGACGATCGATCGTTGTGTATCCCCAAGTGAGCACATTGAGCGTCGCCCATGAACGCCGCTAACCGGCTTCTTTTATCGGACGTGTCAAATCATCTGATCGATGTGACGTCACGGGGATTCCCTGGCGCGTTGCGAGCGAACTCTCGCGAGAAGAAACAGGGTCCACCACTGCAATA